CAGGTTCCCCCTTAGTCCAGCAAGATGGAGATGAGTCCCAGGGCAAAGAGCTGTGCACTACTTCCTGATGGGGACTTTCCCTTAAAAATAATGGGACTAGACAATACATTAGGAATTTAAGTTTCTGATTACTATATTTCAATTATTTCTGCCCCTCCATTACCAGAGAAACTTGAACATGGCATCAGACCTCTTGGAAAGCCAATGTCATCCATCATCCAGGAGCATCTGTACGCTCGGTGCCATGCTGTGTGCTGGGAGTCATGCACAACTCCCATAACACCAGCCATAACAGGAGCACTTCCTGTGGCCTGTGGGCATTACCTCATGTAATCCACAAATGGCTCTATGGAGTGGAGAACGAACCAGGAAATTGAGGCATAGAGGTCTTAGTTAACTTGACCATGAAAGTGCCCTGTTACTGGCCCAGCGAGAATTCAAACTTGGGCAGTCTAACTGCAGAGCCCACACATTGACCCTTCAGCAGTACTGCTCCCCCAAGTTCAGGGAGTTTACTGAGTATTTGGAGAGATGACACAAAAACACAAACAAGTAGTGTATACAAATGCCAAAGAACTCAGATGGAACATGTGGATCTGGTTTGGGCCACACAATCTCCACCACAACTCTGCCCCCGTACCTGAAAAACAGCCATGGTCAATACGTAATGAATGGGCCATGGCTATGTGCCAATGAAACTTTATTTACTAATAAATGGCATGCTGGAGTTAGTCTGGAGCTACAGTTTGCTGACCCTTATGTAGATGATCTATGCCACAGATTTCATAATGGAGATCAGTGTAGACAGGAGCAGTTGGTGGGAGCTTTGGGAATTAAGCCTTGAAGAGAAGTTTAGGGTGGGCTTCGGAGGACCTGTGAGACCTGCGCTGCCCCTTCTTGCTCCCTGGGTTCTGGCCAGCTGGCCTATGTTTCCTAGGCTTTTATTACACCAAGCTTATTCCTCCTCTAGAGGTTTCTCCCCGGCTGATGCCTCTGCCTGGAACTCCTTCCCCAAGCTCTCCTCAAGGCATTTATGGTTTCAGAAATTACCTTGTTCATGATTGTGTACTTGTCTGTTATCTGTCTCTTCCTGTTCTCCTTATAGAATGTAAGCTCAATAACATGGGATCAACATTTGTACTGTTCACTGCTGTATATTCCTGGCACGCAGACAGTGGCCAGAAAATAAACGGGCAAAAAATACTTGCAAGGGCAAATGAAAAGGGGGAGAGAGGCAAAGGAGAGAAAGGGAGAGAGACTTAGGAAATGTAAGCATGCCTCATTATGTCCTGCTTAATTTTTCTTTTCTCTGTGTCTGAATAGATTGTCGCCGTCATTTTGAATGGCTATCACTCAGTGCCCATAACTCTATTTCAGTTAATAAAACATCCTCATCCTGTAATAAGAGAATGATAGCACTGATGGTGGCCATTCCTTGGTCAGAGGTAGGTCTTCTGTACTTCTGAATGATGACTAGTGGTTTAAGTTATAGACTGGCTATAATCAAAATAGAAAAATCCATACTAATCTTCATTTCATTTTATAAAAAATAAAACTCTCCATTGGTATTTTAATACTTAAACAGATACATAAAAAAGCTAATGATCCTCTGTTTCTCTAACCCATAACTACTGTTAAACTTAGCCGTTATTACATATATGTTATTAGCGGGTTTTGTTGGATCCAACCACCTCCTAAACTGGGGCAGACAAGCAGAACTGACCAGGCTGCTTTTCTATCTGCTCCAGCTTCCTTCTCTTACCGACTTTCATTACTTTAAACTGCTAAGACTAGTAATAATAAAGGCTTCCACAGACAGTTGCAAGGTTAAATTTTTTTTATTTCCCTAAATCATTTTTCCCTGTGCAACTGAAGCAGGAAGACATAGCAACCTTTGAAGAGATCACAATAGTAGCTGTAACTATGAGTTTCCTTTCTTTTCAATCAAAAGGGGATAATATTTCATGCTCTAAACACCTCACAAATTTGTATGCTTTCTTTGAAAACTATGTACCCAACCACTGTCTTCCCTTTTACTCTAGAATGTAAGAGACTCGGACCTTTTACTCTAGAATGTAAGAGACTCGGAATAAAAACTATGGTGCAATTATAACAATTTTGCTGGCCCTTAAACTTTAGCAACAGTATTTTTCTTCTCCAAGGTCTTGATTTTTGGTTTTTGTGGGTTTTTTTACATTTTTCCTAGAACTGATTTCTGCATTTTTATATGTAATCTTGTTCTAGGCTATCTTTAAGTGTATAAATAACATTAATTTTTAAATTCCATCCCAAGGTAAGTCACTTACATACAACTTTTTAGAAGCAGTCATTTGAAAATGATGTTTAATTGAAAGATATACAGATTAAATACTAACCAGCTGATTCCCTTCTTAATAATCATAGCCTGTTTCTAGGCCAAGTCTAGGTTTCGGCCACAAACTGATTTTGGAGAAAACACCTAATCAGAAATTTTCCATGTTTTGTTTCATAAGTGATATAAGCTAATATGTCATTAGTCTCTGACAAACTGCGCATCAGTACTGAGAAATGGCAATGTCGTGGGCACATCTATGACCCTCAGCTGTACTAACTTAATTATTAAATTTAACTACTAAGTCAACAATGAGGTTCTGAACATGATCATATCTTTGCAGTGAGTCATCTGCCAATTGAAGGGAAAAACAAGACTGTTCTCAGCATTTATAATTTCCCTAAGAAATGTCCCCTGTTGCTATAGTGACACTGATGCTTTTTAGCTAAAAAAGTAAAAACTCTACACTGTTACTACCGTAAGTGATAAATGGCAAATGCATCAGATGTGATGGATTACAAAGGTGCCCTGGGACCGTAAGTGTTCGGTTCCCTAAGGACTACTGATTGTAGCCTAGAGAGACAGCATCAAACAGTGATCAAGTGCAAGGCCCCGGATCTGTGAGCTGGAACCCTGCCCTTCGTGGCCGGGACTTTGAGTCAGTTACATAACCTCAGTTTCATCATTTGTAAAATGGGGATAATAGTAATACTACCCTTCAGCTGTGTGGATCCAATGGGTGAACATTTATAAAACATTTAGAACAGTGCCTGCATATGGAAACATGATTTAAGAATTTGTTTAATAAAACAAACAAGCTGCACAGTGAAACTTAATCATACTTTTTTAGTACTTTTCAGGATTAGAACTTATAAACAACTGTTTTCAGATCCATGAATAGTAGTAACTCTTTAATCTGATGTTTCTAGACATTAGCTTTCAAATTATATAGTCAAATTCATAACTTAAGGGAGAAAGAAGTGGAACATCTATTCTCACTTCTTAGAACCTGTATAACATTTAGAAATCTATGTGTAATACCTGTATGTATCATATGTTGGGAGTAAGTAAATTCTGATCTGTTGTGTTAAACAAAATGCTTTAGACCCCAGTGCTGCCATTTAGTAGCTATATGTTCTTTGGCAAATTTCTTAAGCTAACTGAGCTCCTGCTTCTCACCCGAGAAATGCTGAAAAATGCAGAGTTGTTGTATTAATGAAATAAGACCCTATAAACAAACTGCTTAGCATAGTTAAATGTTAGTAATGAAACACTGTATTATCTAATGGATAATCAGTAAATGTTTAGCATCAAAATATTAAATACCTTTTTAACTTCGCATTGCAAATTGGGCCAGTTTCCATTTATGGCACCATACCTTAAACTTGTTAACATGTTGATTTGGAACGGTTCTCAAATTTATTTATGCTTTGTCTTCTCATCTCCTGTAAACATGTTGAGGGCAAGAACCAGACTCCCCTTCTTTTTAAATTAAGCCCTGTGTGCTGTAGGCTGTTACTTCTTAATGTGTATAAAGAGTGGTAATTATTCGTGTCTTTTACCAAGTGGAGGAAGAATGAGAACCTAAGTTGAGTCCATGTTGAAGTGGAAAATCTAAGAGCAAGCGAAGAAAAGTCATAAAGAAGCTCTCTATATTGTAATGTAGTGCTCTGCTGAACTCAGAGGGAATGGCTGTGGAATGTGCTGAGAACATTATCTTGTGTGGTACCCACAATTAGGGACTAGAATAGGACCCAGCAAAGCAAGAAGAAAAGAACAATTCAGATAAGTACAGTAATAGCTATCCCAGGTGAGTCGAGAAACTCTTTAAGACAGTGGTTCTCAACCTTCTGGCCCTTTAAATACAGTTCCCCATGTTGTGACCCAACCATAAAATTATTTTTGTTGCTACTTCATAACTGTAATGTTGCTACTGTTATGAATCATAATGTAAATATCTGATATGCAGGATGGTCTTAGGCAACCCCTGTGAAAGGGTCGTTCGACTGCCAAAGGGGTCGCGACCCACAGGTTGAGAACCGCTGCTTTAAGAGGTGATGGTGGTGGTGGTGGTGGTAGTGTGTGTGTGTGTGTGTGTGTGTGTGTGTGTGTGTGTGTGTGTGTGTAGAGCAAGAATAATTTAAAGAAAATGCCACTAGCTTTCATGAGGAGGTCATTGGTAACCCTTAATTTGGAGGCTGAATCCAAATTAAGAGGGTTCAGAAAGAACAGGTGATTGGGAAGTCAGTGCAGCTGGTATAGATCACTGGTTGAGGAAGAAGAAAGATCGGATATGAGATAGTAGAGTTGAGGGGTTCAAGGAAGATGTCGAAAAAAACCTTTTTTAAATTCTAAATGTCAGTTGAAAACAAATAATTGAAAAACTCTAATAAAACCGATCTCCTTTCCAATGGTATTCTTATGCCTGACTCAATTATTCTCAACATGAAAACTGAGAGGTATAAGTAAATCTGAGCCAATGATTTTCATTTTTCCTAATATACAAGTTGTTTTAAAGATTCAGACATGGATTTCCATGTATTCAAATTATTTTCAAACCAGTTATAGTAAAATGCCATTATTGAAAAGTTAACGTCTGAAGTTTTTGGGTCAGAGCCCCCAAAAAAGGAAAGAAAAGAAAAATGTAGGGTTTTATAAAAAATGAATCATCTCTTTTATATCTGAATAGGTTCCTCAAGATGAATGGACAGGGTATACCCCTCGAGGTAAAGATGATGAAATTCCATGCCGAAGAATGCGGAGTGGCAGTTATATCAAAGCCATGGGAGATGAAGACAGTGGTGACTCGGACACAAGCCCCAAGCCGTCTCCCAAAGTTGCTGCACGAAGAGAAAGCTATCTCAAGGCTACTCAGCCATCCCTTACAGAACTCACCACACTCAAGTAAGTGTTTCTAACACTATACGTCTGGTAGTCCACCTCCTTCTAATATTATTACCTAGGATCAGATTGTGTGATGCCTAGAATAAATGGGACAGAAAACATTCTATCCATGGAGCATTGTGATACATTGACTGGTCTATTGATTTTGACATTGGGTTTGACTTGCTTTCAAAGACAAGGGCATTCAGGTGTACTATGCATGGACATAAGCTGAATCCCCAATCTTCAAGATGAAGAGTTTGATATAATCCAGACTGGCTTCTGAAAGAAAGTAAGATTTCTGGTTATTGAGAAGACCCATGTACCCCAACTCTTGGACATTTGTTTAACCACTAAATCTATGAGAAATCTCTTCCTTACAAGACCCTTCAACTGTTCAGATAATTGAGTAATATAATAGATCAGATTATATTGGAGAAGCTTCTAGAATGTGGTCATGTTTTAAAATTGGGTGATATGTGAAGGTTCTTGATATACATTTTTAAATTTGGTCACTCAATATATTTTGTAAGACCTTCAAATGTTTTTTTGTTTTGAAAAATATGATATAAGTAATATTTACCTCCACATGTGCCCTTTGTAAACAGAGAAGAGCTTTACAAAATAAACTACTGAAATTGAAATTTTAATTTTTAATTTGATTTACAGAAGTAAATCCGAGCTTGGAACACAGCATCATGTAGCTCATCATTTGGACCTAAATAATATATCACGGATAATTTGTGTTTCTTAAGTGCCTTTGATTACATGTTTTGAGGAAATACATACTGCTCTTTGTGCATTTATATACACTACAAAATAAGATATTAAAAGACATAATAAATAAAATATAAATTTTCCCAAAGGAAAATAAACTAGATTATGACCTATGACATTCAAAAACAACCAACCATTCCATGGTGGAAATTTATTTAAATAGCAAGTTACATTATATTTTAAGGAAGTGGACAGGGAGAGCCCCCTCATCAATAATTTTTCAATGGAGCATGTGAAACCACTATGGATCATTTCAATAAAAAAAACTTAGAACCAATGACATGAGTAAACCATCCCAAGAAAGGAAGCTCTTCTTCCTTTCCTTTGGCTTCCAGTTGCCCTCCCCTTTGCCTTTATTTCTGCATGTATTCATTTCCCGGGCGTGCCATACTACGACCTTGAAACTATAAGAGTTTATTACCTCACAGTTCTGAAAACTAGAAGTTTGGAGTCAAGGTCAGCATAGCCTCACTCCTAAAACTTGTAGAGGACAATCTCCTGGCCTCTTCCGGGCTTCTGTTCTGCACCTGTTACCCTTGGCATTCCTTGGCTTGTAGCTGCGGCACTTCGATCTCTGCCTCTGTCATCATGTGGCTGTCTTCTTATGACACCAGTGGCATTGGGTTAGAACCCTCCCTAGTGACCTTATCTTAACTTGATTAAACTGCAAAGACCATATTTCCAAGTAAGGTCACATTCACAGGTATTGGGAGTTAGGACTTGGACATATCTATGTGGGGAACACAGTTCACTCCATAACAAATACTGCCACGTGAGGTAAAAATTAATTATAGAAATGAAAACCAGAAACAGGTATTTATTGTACTCTGGCACAGCTCACAGAGGCTCATAAAATTAAAGATACTCAGTGTGAAAAGAACTGGATATGTAATAAAGGCAGTGGTCCAAGGTGGTATGAAATGGGGCTAGCTAAGGACCCTTCTGGCAAATATTTTCTATGGATTTTAAAGTATCTCTCCACTAGCGATAATAATAGATAGTCGTAGTCATGGCATTGACATCTTCCAAAAGATGCAAAAGAAGGAAAGCTTTGGGCAATAAAGTCACTTGGACCTTCAAGATATCAGCTTCCTAATATGAAAACCAAGTCGTGGGAGTCTCCAACCTCCGGAGACCCATCCACCTCCTTTATCCCATTAGTTTACCTATAGGGATGCATTTGTCACATCAGCTGAATGACAGTATACATCTTGGGTGATGAAATACAGTGATTGCTGCTATTCACAGCGGTACCCAGGCATGGGAGAGCAGAAAGGAGTAGAGCCATAAGGAACGTGAGGAGAGTGCTCGGGGGAGGCCAGGGACAGGGGTATGTGCAGAAATCAAGTCCACAATTATACCTGGTAGCTACTCTCCTCAGAGCTTGGGAGCTGTGAGAAATCAGCTCCCAAGCCATTGGAAGTCTTTCTTTTTCATTTTGTCTTCTACATAATAGCTCTTTTTATTTTATTTTTTTTTATTGATTTGTCCTTTTTCAATAGCTCTTTTTAATGCAACTAGCATTTATTTCTTTCACTGCTCACAAGCTTTCAGAGCAAAAAGAGACCACTACACAGACAGTGGCTAAGCTGATGGTAGAGAGGGTCAGCACTTCAGACAGTGAAGTTAGTCATTGAGCAGAGTCGGTGACTTCTACTTCCTTCCTCTAAACCTGTAGAAACTCAAAACAATAGCCATTTTACTAGGGGGCACCTCTTAAATGGAAATACCTTTTCTTGATTGCCTATTCGTTAGCAGGCAAGATAGCATCTGACCATTCTAATATGTCTTTCATTTCTATGCTACCCTCCCATTCCCCAGACTTATTTCTCCTAGTTATATTTATCTCCATCCATTTCTTCCTCACCTGCTTTAGGAGCGCCATCTCTCATTACAGTCTGCATATTAAGCTTCCATCATACTCAAATACATATGATTACTAGTGATTTCTAGTTTAATAGGACTTATAGAGATACAGAAGAAGAAAAAGGAAATACACTCTGAAGGCAAAAGTTGGGATATGACATCACTCATAATTAATGCTGTCTTTTATTCCTTGACGATGTTTTGACTGGAGATAATTACTTCTCTAGAAGTTTGAAGCATTTAGTTCCTCAGAAGAAAAAAGATCCCCATATTCTGGAATTCTAGTTCTCCAAAAAAGAAACTATATTTTTGTTCCTACTGCTCTGACATTTAAGTCAATTTTTCCTCCTTCCTCCTCAGCAATTCACAGCTTTAGGGATGATTCATAGCCATGAACCAAGATAACTAAAATTAGCCAAGTGAGATTGGGGCAACATTTTGTTTGAGGTTTTCAACTCCCATCTTCTCAGAAATGTTGGAGAGAAGGTACTCCTACACTCTCTGACATTGTTTTTCTCTTTTCTTTTCCCTTCGCTGTTTTCCAAAGGCATCTTGAGGGTTTACTTATGAGGATGGTTTTCATCAGCTACTTAATGTTGTTGCATTTTTAGATACATAAGGCCAAAGGTCAGCCGAACATTCTAGAGTCAGAGGCAGCCTTGAGGCAGTGAACTCCACCTCTGGGCTGTAAAACTCCCATAGCTACTCTCCGAGGACCATTATTTCTTTCACTCCCTTCTCTTCTTCCACGGCCGCAATAAACCCCTTCCCCTCACCACTAGCCTTCCTTTTCCGTTATTAGCTAACAATAAACCTAAATGACATATCATCCAAGAATATTATTATTTTCAAAAATACCTTCTGAATGTTTAATAGTCAATTCTCAGGCAAGTAAGGGAGAGATCTGGGGGCCAGAGTTCCAGCTTGGCTCTGTTAAAGGACTGAACTCTTTTCCTTAAATTTGTTATGATATGCCATTTATTCTAAAATTAAAACTACTGCCTGCTATCATGATTAGTTAAAACCATGTCCAAATCTTATCTAGGATAAGATTTTTGTGGTGGGTTGTTTTTTTTTTCAATATATTGTGAAAAGGAAGAATTTTTTAAACTAACGTTTGTGAGCTGTCATTTAAAAGATTCTAAAGCTAAATTTAAATGTCCATTAATCCAAGGCAAATAGCACCTTAAAATCTCTTCCTTCTTCTTTATCCCTTCATCCAAGCGTGAAGGAAACTTACCTCCTGGGAGAAACAGTCTCTGACACACAGACTTGCAAACGCCTCTGAAATTGGCGAGAAGGCCCCCAGGCTTCTGTGCGTGTTTGGCTCTGGAGAAGACCAAGCAGGGTGCCTAACAATTTTGACAAAGTGTCTAACAAAAGGCTTCAGGAAGGTTTATTTTCAATCCTAAATGCCTTGGAGGCAGATAGTTTTTCATTTTCAGAATCGTTAATTCTCTTAATCTCATTCTCTCCCTGATAGGACACTTTTAAAAAAATAATAATAAGTTAGTGAGATACGAAATAGCTCTGTGGCTTTTGGCAACTGGATTAATGTCTCTGTGCGCCCCGGCCCCAATTAAATGAGAGGCTTGGGCTGCAAGTGTGGACAGCACCACCTAGAAGGCTCCCAACCAGGTCAGGGACAGACAGCAGTAGCCGATCTCAGCACCCTTCCCACTGAGCAGCATACCCCTGGGGCTCAGAACGCCTCCCAACGCCGTGCTACAGCCACAGCTTCTCATTGGCCAGTGACTCCCCGGGTGCTATCCCTTGTCTACATGGTCTCTGAGGCATCTAAAAGCGCTGATGTGGACAATTGTAAAGAGGAGGCACAGAAGAAATAGTTTACTATTTGAAGACAAAAGGAAGTGGTATTGATAAATGACAACATTTGAGAAGAGATACACAGGATGTTCTCCTTCGCCTTTAATTCTGGAGATTTAAAATGCGTCCGTTCTATCGCAAGAACCCAAACTGTAGGGTCTCTTTTTTTGGTTAGCTTTCTAAGTTTATTTCTTCCCTTTTTCTCTCTAGACACACTGTGTCCTCTGCCAGTTCCTCACATTCCACATGCCCCTTCTACCCACCTAGGGCTCCTCATGTTCTTTCCCTAACCAGAAAAAGGATGGGGGAGGGGGAGGGAGGTGATATAAAGATGGGAGCATGAGGATTTTTTCCCTGAGGGTTATCTGAGTTCCCCATATTTAAGAACATAGCAATGTGTATCAGTCCACCTTTCTCCTTAGTGTATGAAATGTCTCTGTTTTTCTTTGTTCTCCACTTTCCCCAAATGTTTTGCCATTCCTCTCTACCTGTTCCTCAGTATAACTGTAACATACAATAGCGAATGCTCCTCACAGTGGGCGGAGGAACAA